GAAATTTAGGTGGATGCATTTCGAATGCCAACCTATACCTATCCTCAGGTGACAGCCCTGAAGGAAGTTTTAACTTAGAAACTTTTTGTTTAAATTTTTCCTTCAAGGTCTCAGCTGCTTGATGCACAGTGGAGTCCAAGCGCGTGGGGTCATAAGTAGTTTCAAAATAATTTTGGAAAGCTTTAATCTCTTTGGCATGAGTAAACATACCTTTCTTTGTTGGTACCTGCACATCGAAGGCATCAATTAGTTTCTGTTGAATTGTAAGTGTATCGAACATATAAGTTTGATAAAACTTGGTCCACCATTCCAGAAATCCTTTAGCCGTGAGATGGGTAGGTTCGAAGGTTATCAGCTCAAATTGGGCAAAGCCTTGATATTGTTCTTGCTGTATCTTGGCTTCCCGTGCCTTGAAAGTTCGTCCAGAAGTGATGGCACTCTCAGTTTGGAATAAAGGTTCAGGAATCAGTTGGAATAAGCCAAACTGCCTCGAAACGAAGTTTGGTTGGTAGGCAAAGAGAAAAATCTGGTTCTTGGCTGGAGTTATTCTTGAAGAAATAAGTCTAGGCAGCAAAAAGGCTCTCCATACATCCTGAATCTCCTTGCTCTTGATAGCTTCTGAGAGAGACATGGTGAACCAAGAAGGTCCATGAGCCCTTGAAGCAAAAGGCGCCATGCTCTCTTCAAACTTGTGCCTTTTGGAGAATATCATGATGTACTTCGAGAATTGGACTTTGAAGTCATCTTTGTCGTCATTGGGAGTTAATCTTCGAAGCCTAGTGCCTTCGACTATCCTATCATTTATCTCAGAATCTTGCTCATCAATGGTGTTGGCGGTTGATAAGGAGGGTTCGAACATGGCATTTAGCCATAGTTGGAGTAACCAAAAAGGGCCAGCCAATAGAATATTTTTTTGGAGGTGTGAGATTTGAGGCTCGAAACAGCTGACCTCAGGCTTTCATAGAGGTCAACTAAGAGCAGTTCACTTAGGCACACTTTTCGATTTTCATGCAAGTCCCTAGCTAGAGGAATGAACCTACTAGCTACCTATAGGGATCTACTGCAGAAAACGTATCTTGACAGCCACAGGGTTAAGAAAGCAATGTGCTCTACGTCAGACACATTGTCCCCCTCAGCATGGTAATGACTGATAAATTTGGAAAAACTGGCTAGCTTGACTTCGAAGTCAATTATGCTTGAGTGTTCTTCGTTGTCGGGTATATAAGTTTCTCCCACTGGCGATAGCCCAGTGATGGCCGCTATGTCGAAGAAGGTTGGGGTGATCATTCCACCTGGGAGATGGAAAGTGTTATAGGTACTGTCCCAGAAATAAAGGGACGCGAATAGCAGAGGGTGGCTGTAGGTGAAACCAGGCTTCGATAGCTTAATCAGGTTATAGATACCTAATTCTTCCCATTACTGGGATTTCTTAGCTTCTACTTTCTTGAACCAATTTTGATAAGCAATATCAGAGGTGGGGCAAGATCGAAATGGCTTAAAATTACTTTTTACATAATCCAAAACAAAGGGGTCCTTAGGAGGAACAGTTGGGGTTTCTATGGTATTTGAACTAGGAGATTCTACTGCCTTAGGGGCGTCCATTTTGTTAAATAAGGGTTTGAAGCTATAACAAACTGGGAAAATCGTCCTGGTGTCTTTTAATATTTCAAAAACCGTAAGAGGGCCATTTAAAGTTAACCTCTTACCAGCAACGTTGGTAGGAATGAGTACTTGTGACGCATACAACATTTCTTTTTCCTTTGAAATCATCTGAGGGGCAAGAACGGATTGGCCTTGGTGAGTGATGATTTTACTTTCCATGGTAGCTCCTGCAGTTTTTCCTTTCTTCTTGGAGACTTTCTTGAGTTGGGATGAAGTAGAAGAAGACATTTTTGAAAGATGTTGAAAGCTTGGATTTTTTTTTTGACGAGAGAAAGAGGGTAAAAGATTTAGAGTGTGAAAAGAAAAGAAAAAGATTAAGTTGGTGATGTTTTATAATGGGGAAGTTTAAGCATCCACCGAATAAGGGTGTGATACGTGGAAATCACGGGTTGGTGTGATGAAGAGGTGGCGTAAAGATAACATGGGTAATAGGCGTGATTTAAAGATAATCATTATTTGTAACTGCACCATACTGTGAAGTGGCTCCAGGCGGTTAAGGAATCCAAAAGGTGCTATGATTGACGTGACTGGAGTCAAATGCATTAAATGTTACGATGATTCGAAAGTCACATCAAAATCTTGTGTAGGTGTTTAAAATAGGTATTTCTCAGAGGAATCGAAATACATATTTTAAAGGGGCAATTTGTTGGCTGAAGATTTTGATAATGTTATTAGAAGCCAAATGAATTAAACGTTTCGATCGAAATGAGGTAAAGAGCCATGTTTCGAAGTAGCAGAAGCAGTGTTTCGAATAAGTATGTCAAAGCTTGGAGCTTCGAGTGGCAATTATGGGAACATATCTAAAGAAGTCTCGAAATAACAACAAGGCTGTGTCTGGGAAGAGCGTTCGAAACGGAGAAGTACCAAAGCATTTGAAATTCAAATGGAAGCGGGACTTTCGAAGTTGGAAAGTTATGTGCTGGAGCATTTGGGGACACGTGGAAAGATTAAAGAGGCATTGTCCTGCATGTTCTAAACGTGGCATGATCCTATAGCAAGACCGTTATGGTCGAATTAGTATAAATAGAAGTCTTAGTATTAGGATTTCGTGTGTCATATCTATTATACAAAATACTCAGTAACTTTCAAACTACCACATGGCAAGGGAAACGAATGCAAGAGAAATGTATGTATGATAGCACCATGTATTTCTGATTTAATGAAAACCTTTTACCATTTCCAGCACTTTCCTTTATCCTTTTGTCAAATAACATTTACAAGCTTTCTCATTTACAGTCTTTTCACTTCGAAATCTCTTCTTCAAAGTTTTACATTTTAATGTTTTCTTCATATTTCAAGCACTTTATATTTCAGAAAACTGTCATATTTTCCATACATTTACCTTCAAGTCTTATCCTTCGAACGCATATTTTTACTTAAAAGTCATTTAAAGATTTCTTGCATTAAACGCTTTCTTCATATTTCAAACCTTTTACGTTTCAGAAATCCTTTATATTAACTGTTTTGTAAGTCGAAACCATTTACCTTACTTTTTTGCAATTTTACATGTCTTTACAATTAGCATTTATTCATGTAACTTAGTTTCACACACGCATTTTGATTACATCCTTAGACTTTTAGAGAGAGAAATCGAAATAAGCCAAACACATATACAACATCAATCATGAATATCTGTTCGATCGTGAGAGTAACCTTAATATCCAAGGAGTCCTAGGATCAATCTAGTCGATCCTGTGAGTTACCAAAGGAATTGAATAACAGTAAGAAAGATTATTCGATAGTTTGGAAGACTAGCGGTTGTTTACCAAAAATCACTGGAAACAGGGGGCTATTATCCCGACGGGGGAAGTGCTTCTTCGTTGTTGTCTTGGCTTGGGCGACGGTGAATGGTCGCGGTCAAGCTGGGTGTCTGCTCTTCGTGAGTATAACAGACTGAGAGGTGACTGCCCTCATGGACATGTGCGAGTTTCAGGCATTGTTGATCGTGCCGCTCAAGGGTGCAGCCAGAGATACTGGACCAACATTATTAGACCATGTCAATGATAAAAGCGAATCGAATCAATTCTAATTATTAGAGCAGTCACGAACAACTATGAAGCAATTTTATAAATCTCATATGATATGTGAGTTGCAATCAATAATTTTTTTTATGTGTTTCATAGTTAAACTCCTAAATAAAAGTATACTTATGATTCAATAGATCTATATTTTAGGAGCTTGAAAACCACGTCGGTCTGAATTAATTTAATAAAGACAAGACCTCCACTATTTTTTTCAGTCATCCCACTTTCTTAGGTGTATTTTGCTATAAAATGGAAAAATAGTGAATTAAATTGAAAGTGAATGTCCCTTTAGCTATTCTTATATATTACCTACTGTTTTAAAATAGTTTAGAATGCATTTAACTTTGAATTTTTTTTATTTTTAAATATAATACTATTTCTATTTTAAATTATAGAGCATAATTAAAAAATATAGTTAACACCGTTTTATGCAATTTCCAATAAAAATATAACGAATATATATTTTTCTCTTACCATATGTAATTTCTTTTTATTTTTATTCTTTAAAAAATATTTAAATATATTTATCATATTTTTATTAAATTAAAGTATAAATTATACTTATAAAATTGTATTTAAATATAATTTTAAATTAATTATTCTATTTATCTTATATTAAATATTATATTTAAGCTATGCTTGATTTTAAAAAAACAGTTAAATTATTCAAGAATAAAATTTATAATATTTATAAAATATCTTTATTAATTATAATAGAATACTTAAATAAAATAAAATATAATAAAGACTTAATTACAGTTTTAATTATTTTATCTTATTTATAAAATATTTTAAATTTAAACAGTTTTACTCTTCTCCTTATACTTTTATATTTAAAATTTTTAAATATTTTTTTATGAAACATGGAAAATTATTATATATAAAATTTATAATTAAAAATATGTGTATAAAACGAATACTTTATTGATTTTTTATAAAATAACATATGAAGAGATTATGAGATTAATTTTGTGAATGAGATAAAATTGAATACTAAAATTGTAACTTTTAACTTATAATAATTAAAGTATAATTAAAATAAAATTTAATAAATAAAAAATATAAGAAATAAAAATAAAAATACTGTATTAATATTTTAAAATACTTATTATTTTAAGTAATAATTTAAAAAAGTAAATATAAGACTTTTCATCTTTTAAGTAGTTACACCAATTAACTAAATAGGGTTATTCCTGGTATAGTTGAGAAACCAAAATAAATTATATTAAAAATTTATTCGAATTAAATTAAACTGTTTTAATTTATTTTAAGTTCAGTTTAATTGGGTTGTTCGATTCGATTTTATGATTTATGATTTTTTTAGAGAATGAATTTAGTTTAGTATTTTGTGTGTTGACCAATACACATATGATCGAAGGTTGTGTCCTTTTAGTCTCTTTCATCTTATCCTACTCATCTCTCTGTCACTCTCTCACATTCGCACGCGCCACAACACAACACAAAAACAGGAAGAAGAAGAGTGAAAAATCTGTACTATTATCAGTGGGAGCATTTTTTGCGTACTCTTTCAAGTGGGTGATTGTTTCCATTTGCTTTGTTTGTGGTTATGGCTTTCTTGTGGGGTCACTCGTCGTTTTGTACCATCAAAGGTTGCTTTCTGCTTCTGTGCTGTCGTGTGTAGCACAGGGGTTTTACCAGTGTTTGTTTTGGATTACATTATTGTACTTTTTTTTTTTCCTTAAAAGAGAGTTTTGTGGATTCTTTTGTGTCTCAATGAGTGCTTTTTCTGGAACAAAAATATGGTTTTTTTAGGGAGTTGGTAAGGAGTGTGAATTGCAGAGTTTTAAGGAAGTTAAAGGGTTTTCAAAAGTTGATTTTTTTAGTAATAGGGTGGAAGGTTTTTTTGCTGTTAAACAATGTTGTGAGAAGTTCATTGTTGAGGAAGTTGTTTTTTTGTCATTTTGGTTTTTCGGGTGTGTTGGAAAGTGTTGCTAAAATGAGTGATTCTTCAGTGAAGAATTTGGCTATTACAGACAAGGTTCAAAAACCTGGTGGTTGTGTTGGCATTTTCTTTCAGCTTATTGACTGGAAGAAGAGACTTGTTAAGAAAAAGCTCTTCTCCAAGAAGCTTCTCACTCCTGGTTAGTTACTTTCTAGTAATTTGATTTAGCATGAAAAATTATAGTACTAGGCATTGTTTTTGTTGAAACTGATGTTGTTGTTTTGATCTTTGGTGCTGTGTGTATATCGTATATCAGCTCGTGCAAAAAAGTTTAGAGGAGATGAAAAAATGCGGAATTCCAAACTTCACTTGGTAAGCTTATGCTTTGAATAGATTAATCATTTTGGTGTTATGAATTTATCATTAGATGTTGGTTGATGTTTAGAGGTTAATCAATTTTATGGCTATTGTTGTTGTGTTTCAATTGTAGATTGCTAATGAGAATAGTGGAGGTTTTCCAAAAGGTGGGAGTCATGGTGTAGATGTAGAGCAAAAGAGTGAAATGCGGGTTCCGAGTTTGGTAGCGAGGTTGATGGGTCTAGATTCTATTCCGGCTGCTCAGCGAGAGAAGTCGAAGAAAGCTTTGTGTCCTGATTATAGTTATGGCGATGAGAAGGAGTGTTTGAGTAATCATTGTGAGTTGGATAGGCAAGGTAAGGATTTGGAAATGAGAGTTGTGAAGCATGATTTGCGACCTCAGAAGCTTCAGAAAACGGAAGTGTGTGAGAGAAATGCAGTGACTAGGTTTGGAGCGGAGGCTCTTCATATTAAGAGTGTTTTGTCACGAGCGAAAAAGTATAACCAACATCATAATCATCATCACCCGAAGCTTGCTTCTCCTTTGAAAAGTCCTAGGGTTAATTCTGGGAAAAGTGGTTCTCGTGGCTCTAGATTAATAGGAGCAGCTGCTAAGATTTTGGAACCTGGACTGCACTCGAGTAGAGGTAAAGGCTCTCTTACGTATCATGCGTCTACATGTCCTCTTAAGACTGGGATTGGAACGGATGGTGTTGGAAATAAGTCACCTGTTATGCAAAATCAATCTTGTTATGCTTCCAGCACAGCCAAGCCTTTAACAGGACAGTCTTCTTGCAAAAATTGTGGCAATTTGCTTGATGTAATTGATTGTACGGTGGAGGTTAGAGGACCACCAGATGTTCCTCCGCCGATTGTTTCAGACGTGGAAATCAATGCTACCTCTATGGTATCGTCGATTAAGAAGGGAAAGTCTTTCGCTCCCTCTCAAGAACAAGGAAGAGATATCGTTCTTCCGAGAAGTCAGGGAAAGTTCTCATCGTCTGTTGCTGATGAAGAGGGGAAGAATTATGCACAGCGCTCACGAAATGAACCGACTACCATAAGAATTCCAATGCCCCGCGAAGGTCCACCTAAATGTAGTTCATCATGCCAACCATTAAGGGCTCAAGAGGATGATGCTTCTTCTTTTGCCTACAAACACAAAACACAAGAATCAAGATTAAGTAGTGAAGGCTCTTCATCTGGATCTACATCGAGTAGTACGCAAGTAAAAAGAGTATCTTCATATGCGAGCACTGCAAGTGGGACTAAAGACTTTGTTGCTTTGAATAGAAGTGTAAGTGGTCGAACGAGGATGAGGTCACCTACTAAAGTTGATAGTTCCAAATTTGACTTAGAGAAAAAACCTTGTTATAGACAACAGCACGAGTCCTCGTCTCATGTTAGGGCATTGGAGAGGAAAAGAAGGACCGTGAATGTCACACAACTTGAAGGCACGACTCCTGCCAATTCAGTTGGTTTGAAACAGAGAAATCTTCGCCGTGATGCAATTGTTGGAAAAAGGAGGGACTTTGACTCTTCCTCATTGAAGAGTTCCAATGTAAAAGCCAAAGGACACGGTCAAGAGGAACCGGTTAAGGTGAGCCACAATAGGAACAATGATGCAGTTTCATTCACATTTAATTCCCATTTGAAGCAAAAGACGGGAATGCCAGTGAAGGTGGAAGAGACAAGCATTAACAATGAGAGGAATAAATACTTCCAAAAACCTTCACCTTTGAAAGTCGATGATTTAAGTGGTTTTCTAGAACAAAAGTTGAAGGAACTAACCTCTCGAAAAAACGAGTCGGCTACAAATGCTCTACCTCAAAAATCAAGTGCTGCCATTCTTCAAGAGCTGATATCTGCTCTAAGTTCCGAAAGTTTGATCTGTCATGATGGTCATATGCATAATGAAGATGCTGGATTCTTTGTAAGTCTTCTTCATCAATACTTTCTTCGTGTGCTTATAATATTCTCTTTACTTTTGTTTAATTATCAGCTATCAGTTGCTCATTTTTGTCGAAAACTTGCTTTACTTAATTGTTTTCAATGAAATGTTCTAGACATCTGTTAGACCTTAATAATGACTGGGAACTAAAAATGAGTGTGGCTGTTCTATTCTGTCAAGTAGCAGTTACATGCATATGAGCAGTCATTATAAATGATATATGAATGATGTATGTAGCAGCTATAGAGTCTAAGAGCAGCCATTAGTATTATTAGAGTAATAATTATTAGTGCATTGAAAATTGAAATGAGCATTCATTTCATTTTGAAACAATTGTTTTTGAGTAACTCATTGTGGACAGTGGGACTCATTGTGGGTAGTGGGGCAGACTGTACGTCAAGATAGTGAATTCTGAATGTAGTACAGTGTACAAGAAGAATAATTAGGCTAATTTTTTCCAGTAACTATACATTGAATCTATTCTTCTATTAAATAAATCTATGCTGCTTAGAAAAAGTGAGATAGTAATTATTAAGTTATTAAGAGTTTTTATTACCAGCACTTCACTGTATAAGAAGAGGCCTATTTGCCTCATTAAACAGAATACTATTTTCTGAAACCATTACATTTATTTTCAGCAACTTGAGATTTTTTTGTTCTCAGTTTAAGCATAAATCTGTTAACTGTAATATGGTATCAAAACTTATCCTATTATTTGTGGCATGTTTGAATTATGACTATTATTTATACCTGATATTTTCTTTGGTTTCTTTTCTTATCAGGGTGAAGCCAAACATGAAAGGTTGTTAGGATCCTCTTGCAATGAGAATCATCTCAGTCCTGGATCTGTTTTAGAAGCTTCATTTTCTTCCAGTAGTCTCGACGAAAGCTCAGGTAAATTCGAACTTGATAAACTGTAAACCCTAAAAACTGCACTCAATGTAAAAGCAATTCACATTTTCAGTTGATTTAATCTCTTTCTGATCTTTTTGATTGAATCACAGGGCGTGGTTTTCATCCCGATTCTATGACTTTCTCGTATAGCCAGGCGGAACTGATGGAACAAGACGACGAACTCTTGGATTCTGCAGCGTCTTTTAATAAAGGAAGTATAAGTAAGATACTAGTTGATATTGTTAACCAGATTCCCATGGTGTTACAATGTTTATATTCTATTGGGACACATTTCACAAGAAGCAAACTCAACAATACGAAGACTGTCCTCGTGAATGCTGAGTTGGTGCTTCGGATTGCAAATGAGCATAGCGAGGAAGAAGTGCCGCCGCCACAGCTTCTAATTTATCGGTTTCTTTGCGACGAATTGGATGCTATGTTTACTGATGTTAACTGTTTTGTTGGCTATGAGGATTCCGATTCCAAACCAAGAAAGATGCTCAATGGATTTATCTTAGACTGTGTTATGGAATATCTAGAATCTAACTGTTGCCAATATTTTCACTCTGGATTCAAGGCGTGGACGATGCTTCCGTTATGCATGAAAGCCGGGACGTTGACTCAAGCGGTCACAAGAGAGGTGAATAAGTGGGCGTATATGGTTGGGATGGTACCCGACGAAATAATCGAATGGGAGATGAGTCATTCCCTTGGGAAATGGGATGACTTCGATATCGAAGCATTTGAGGCCGGTGTTGATATAGATGGAGATATACTTCATAATTTGGTCGATGAAGTTGTTGAAGAGTTTGTAGGTTGCATGCATAGTTCTTATGCCTTTTGAAGTTCTACTCCTTAGTTGGTCATGAAACATCGTTGTATTCATGTTCTGTTTTGGTCTGATAATGATGGTGTATTTTTTGTACAAATGGGATTATGGTAGTATCTCTAATGGAGGCTTCTTTAAGCCTATTTGAATTTTGGACAAAGAAAGTCCTATGACGATGCTGTTGTTTTAATAATGTTATTACTCCTATTATCTATGTGTTTTTATTTGAGGAAATTAGTATGTTTTTTGGTTTCAGCATTTTCTTAGAAACAAAAATGAGCTAACTCAGTTTTAGACAGGTTCTTCAAAATGGATTCCACCTTGAAAATCTCATTTTAAAAAAAGAACTTGAACAATGACAAGCATGCATAGTCCATATATTTTGCAGATTTTTTTCAAATTTTGATTTTGATAAATCTTAGTATATCTTTGGTGATCAAAGAAGCTACGATTACAAAGCTTCTCAAAATCAAGTTAGGAAGGACCTTCATGCTCAGGGTTTCAAGTTTAATTCAATTTCATCAAATCGAATCAACAGATTGATAAACTTAAATTATAGTATCTAATTGATTGTGCATTGAAAGGCAAAAATAAATTTTTAAGTTGTGTCTCATTGAATGTGCATTGAAAAGCAAAAAAAAAGGTCCATTTCAATTTCAACTATGTTTCATTTTCAAGCTTTCCGTTTTTCATATTAAAATAGCATTGTGATGTGATTTTAAGGATGCAAACACATAGTCCATAGGAGCACTCGAGTTCAATCCCAATCTTAGGTTGGACAAACATTCATTTGTTAATTTAACTTGTTCGGTAACATATTCAAGAAATTGTTATGAATATTTTTGCCTATAATTCATATTGTTGAGATTATTATAAGAATTCTTGAGTATGAATTCATATCGTAAAGATTATTGTCAATAAGATCCATTTCAAGAATATTATTGGAATCTGAGTCTTATTATTATATTCTCTCTGATTTTATCTACAAGATACAATTTATTTTTTAAATTTATTCAACAATTATGTATTTGATCTAACAATAGATAAATTTGCCTAGATTTCTTAAGCTTGTAGGTCTTTCATATTCAATTAATAAGGCTTGTAGGTCTTCAATTAATACAGTCTTTACCAATTAATAGAGAAATAAAAAAATATTATTTCATTAAAAATACAACAAACAATATCCTTCCCAATCATGAGAAGAATATGAAAACTATTCTTCTGTAATAATATTCCAATAACCAACACTCAAATCACACATCCTTAGAAGCTTCAATACTACTACAAATTCACCCTCCCAAAAAAAGAAAAAGAAAAATGCAAATTGAAAAGTGAGAAAAAAATTGAATAAAAATAAAAAATTGAAGAATTCAAAGATGCAGAAACTCAAAGAACTCTTCATCTTAAAACATTTTTCTTCCCCAGAACTCTACTATTCTTAATCTCACCATTGATAGCATTTGCAGTAGCCGAAGAAAAACTCCTCAGTTCATCAAAATTACCATAGCTTTTCCTCGCCGTAAGAATCCCACCACCACCACCACCATAACCCTTTCTCTTGTCTGCATTTACTGATCTACTACCTCCTCTCGAACTCGACATAACACCACAACCTTTGTTCTTGTTCTTCAATGGAGGTGTCAATGTAGTAGGTTGCAAATTGTTATTGACCGGCTTACGATTCTCTTTCCTTAACAATGAAGACAAATCCGGCACAGATTGAGCTACAAGAGAAGAAGACACTTTTCTTACACAAGACACACCAACTTGATACTTGACTTGTTTTGTTGATATGGTTGGAATTTTTGATTCAAAAACATTCTCTTTTTCTTGTTGTTCTTCTTGATAATCTTGTTGTTGGTATTGGTAGTTGAGTCGAATCTTTTTCTCTCGCAGTTTAGCGTATTCATCGTATCTGGGTCCTCTCTCCAAATCCATGTTTGTTGTGGAGGTGAGAATAGAGAACAGAGAGAATAGGGTTTGGAAGACGAGACAGAAAATATAGCCGTTGAAGTGTTTTGTTTTAGTTGTTGGTTTATTGTTACGTGTGTTTCTCTTTTTACCACTTTTTTGTAATAAAATTAAACAAAATTTATGTTACGGTTGTTTGATATTGTAACGGTCATAATAAATGAGACAGAAGATGCTTTTAATTGTGAAATGAAAAGTACATTTTTTAATGATGACTTCTCTATATTACACGTGGGATTTTATATTCATTGTACTTGATTATCTAATTTTGTGTGTCATAAACAAATGTGTTCTGGACTGGGCCCGACAGGCCCAAAAGCATTACTAAGGCCCAGTCCAAAGGGACTCACTAAGGACCACACTGGGTAAAGGGGGTCACATCCGTGCCCGACAACCTGATGTCCACCTCGACATCTCGATGTTCAACCCCACGCGGTGAAGTCGTGCTCGACACCCTGCCGTCCGGCTCTATGTCCTGGCGTCCAGCTCGACACTCGCTGTCCAGCTCGAGGTCCTGGCGTCGAGCTCGGCACCGTGCTGCGCAGCTCGACATGGTCTCGGGCTACCCGGCTAGGGCAGACTTAGTCCTCCATTGCCCCAACGATACTCCGGAAAGACCGCGTCTCCGTCCGCCCGCATTTCATGCAGCATATCCAGGAAGGGGACCACGTGCTGGTCCCCACTACCCACGTAGAACCTGGCAGTTCCTCCATTGGGCCAAATCCGCCCGGCCCAATGAAGGAACCTTGGCCCAGCGCTGGGGGCTATAAATACCCTCTGCTTCCAGAGGGTCAGGGATTGATCATTCTAACCTCAACTCTATTATCTGCTAGTACTCCCACTGACTTTAGCATCGGAGTGCCTTGCAGGTACCCCCCCCCCCCCTCCTCGTTCAAAAAGCCTTCAGCTCGGAGTAAGCCGTGACGGTCCAAACCTTCTGATCAGGTCAGATCAGTGGCGCCGTCTGTGGGAAACAGCTTCCCCGTCTAACGAACAGTTTCAAAGACCAAAGCTCAATCCATTCACTGTCATGGCTACCCCAACTCGTGAAGAACAACTCACCCGTGTCCTCGACACCAACAACGGTCCCGCGGACAAGAATGGGCATCTGGACAATCCCAGTGATGCCGGCCACAATACCATCCCCGTGACGACCGCCCCGGGACCTTCCACCCGCAGGGACGGGAACACTGCGTCGTCCTCGACACCTCCTCCAAGACTCGAAGACGACCCAGAGGCTCTCGCCTATCGCCAAGCTGCCCGGTTCTATGAAGTCCAAGTCCCTGCCGGAGCAGATGCCACGACTCAGGCGTTGTTCGCGGCCATCAACCAGACGAACTATCTCCTGTTCGCCCAAGGAGAAAGACTAAGGGCACTTGAAACTGACCGACGCCCCCCGAGGAGACATCAAAGGCCACCATCTCCACCTCCTCGGGTCGAAGAAGTTCGACACCCTACTCCTCCGCGGAGACATTACAGGGAGAACTCTAGGAGCCCCTCTCCCCCACCAAGGCAGAGGCGGCCCCAGTATGAAAGACAGCCCGTCATCCCTGCCGAAGAGCCCAGTCGCGACCCATCAAGGCACGACAGGAGGCACAACAGAGACGGGCGTGTGACCTTCAATCACCGAGCATCACGCTCGAGGGAATCTCAGCACGACCAGCGTGCCAGACATCACTACAGGACCCCTTCTCTTTCTCCAGAAAGGAGCGACGAGGACGACCCCCGCGGTCCCCTGTCGCAGGCCATCATGGACGCACCTATTCCCCCGGGCATGGAGAAGCCCCCACACCTAAAGGAGTACGATGGAGTGGCGGACCCAGTCGACCACATTGACGGGTTCGAAGCCATGCTCCACTATCACAATGTCGGGGGGCCCATCAAGTGCCGTCTCTTCCCAACAACTCTCAGGAAGGCGGCCATGGATTGGTACAAAGGACTTGCCCCGGGCTCCATCACCTCGTGGAGGAACTTGAAGAATCAGTTCATTAGTTCCTTCACGGCTTCTCGTCGCCACCCAAAGACTGAGGCAGCCCTCGAGGCCATCATTCAAAGACATGATGAGACCTTGAGGGAATTCATCAACCGCTTCAACCGGGAAGCAATACAGGTCCCCTGCGCGGACCATATGAAGAGGTATTTGCTGGAGAGGGGCCTCCTCCCCGGCACAGAATTCAGGAAAGCTGTGGGCATTGAGCCACCTGCAACTTTTGATGCTCTCCTCGACAAAGCCCGAGCATATATGGACTACGAGGAGAGAGAAGCTGCCAACAGGGCACGAGACTCCAGGGCTCGCAACCATGGAAGCAGCTCGAGACAAGACCCTCCTCCCCGACGCACCGGAGAGAAGAGGAAGGAAGACAGACCCCGGGAGGTCCGGGAACAAAGGGGCCCCTCGGGCCGGTTTACTGAGTACACTCCGCTCACGGCTTCCCGCGAGCGTATTCTGGCGGAGTGTGCAAGCACAGATTTTAAAGACGGTGGCGTCAAGCGTCCCCGACCAGCTCCTGCCAAGCCAGGAGTAGACAAAAACAAATACTGTCAGTACCATAGGAGTCATGGTCACTTGACAGAGGACTGCGTCCACCTGAAGGACGCCATTGAAACCCTCATCAAAGGGGGGAGACTGGCACAGTACAGGAGAAACGACGCTCCCCGTCGTGAAGCCCGCGAGGCAAAGGAGCCCGAAGAAGATGCCCTGCCATCTGACGAGTCGGTGCCAATCCAGACCGCCTTCTCGGTAACCAGGCCCGAGGATTTCGAACTGCCCGAGCTCCTGCAGGAGCCCCTGACTACACACAGCAGATGGGAATACTTCCCCTCCGCCATGGTCATCAACGGGGGCGGGTTCAACGACCTCACCATCAACTCAGCAAAGAGGAAGTTGGACGAACTGGTCGACAAAGCTCCTCCACAAACTGTGACTTTCGAAATGGTGAAGGGCAGATCAGAGCCTATCACCTTCTACTTGGAAGAGCTCCCCGGCGGAGCGCCGAACGCAGTCATTCCCTTGCTGATAAGGGCAAAGATGGCCAATTTTGACGTGCATCGCATCCTGGTCGACGAAGGGAGTTCCGTCGACGTGATGTACACTCAGCTGTTCCGGACCTTACAACTGGACGACTCACATCTGTCTCCATATATAGGTTCGGACCTTCAAGGCTTCAACGGCTCGACGTCCAAACCTTGGGGATATGTCGAGCTCCTCGTGACATTCGTGGAAGGAACTGCTACAAGACAGGTGAAGGTCCGCTTCCTCGTCATTGACTGCCCGTCCCTGTACAATTGCATCTTGGGGAGGCCGACATTGGCAAAGCTGACAGCGGTTCCCTCAACTGTCCATCTCAAAATGAAGTTCTACACCAAACGGGCAAGGGTAGCCACCATCCAGGGCGACCTCGCTGCTGCCCGCAGGTGCTTCAACGCCGCTTCAAGGGGTCGGGATACTGTCGACGTGGGTCCCAGCACTAGGCCCATCAAGAAGACAAAGCAAGAGCCCGACAGAGCATCTCCTGAGGCAGAAGTTCAGAAGGCTCCACCAAAGGTCGACTCCATTGCGCTCGACGCCCGTTTTGACCAAGACGAGCCGGCCAGCAACGAGCAAATTCCCCTCCGACCTATTCCGGACGGCGATTTCGAACTCGTTCCCCTCAGAGCAGACCCGACCAAAGGAGTGAAGATTGGCAAGGACCTCCCCGACTTGGCCAGGAAGCAAATCAAGGCCTGTCTGCGCGAGAATGCTGATCTCTTCGCCTGGAGCGCTGCAGAGATGCCCGGACTCGACCCTGAGGTCGCCTGTCATCACCTCGCCATTGATCCAGCCGCCAAGGCAGTAGTACAACGTAGGCGTAGGCAGTCTCCAGAAAAAACGGAGGCTGCTGAAAAAGCTGTAAAAGACCTCCTAGAGGCAAATTTTATTTCTGAAGCCCGGTACTCCACCTGGCTGTCAAATGTTGTACTTGTTAAAAAGAATAATGGAAAATGGCGAATGTGTGTTGATTATACCGATCTCAATCGGGCTTGCCCGAAGGATGCTTTTCCTCTACCAAACATTGATATGCTGGTCGACAACTCGGCCGGCTACAAAACTTTGTCGTTCATGGATGCTTACTCGGGATACAATCAAATCCCAATGGCTCCGGGCGACAAACGCTGCACGGCATTCATGACCAGCTCGGGCAACTATTACTACAACGTAATGCCCTTCGGACTGAAGAACGCCGGTGCGACTTACCAACGCATGATGAACAAAGTGTTCAACAAACAGATCGGCGACATGCTCGAGGTATACATGGACGACATGATCGTCAAATCTCGAGCAGACACCGATCATGCAGCTCATCTCAAGACTGTCTTCGCCCAAGCAAGACAGTGCAAGATGAGGTTCAACCCCGAGAAGTGCACATTTGGGGTTAAGGCAGGAAAGTTCCTCGGATTCTATCTAACAGAACGAGGCATTGAAGCCAACCCCGACAAGTGCCGAGCATTCGCCGACCTCCCGACTCCAACGTCGAAGAAGTCGATACAGATAATGAACGGCATGTTGACGTCACTTTCACGCTTCGTCGCGAAGTCCGCTCAGCACGCCCTTCCCTTTTTCAAACTCCTTCGAAAGGAAGCAGCCTTCGAATGGACCGAGGAATGCGAACACGCACTTCGCCATCTGAAGCAGAGCCTGTCTCAACCGCCCGTGCTGTCTCGACCAGATGACAACGAGCCACTTTACCTATACTTGGCAGTTTCAAACGAAGCCATCAGTGCAGCTCTTGTCCGCGAGACTCCCGACGGACAGAAACCTGTCTACTTCACGAGCAAAGCCTTACAAGGCCCCGAGAGCAGGTATCAACAGATAGAAAAGGTTGCACTGGCCCTCGTCAACGCTGCGAGGAGGCTCAGACACTACTTTCTAGCACACACCATTGTCGTGCGAACCGATCAACCGGTGAGACAACTCCTGGGTCGGCCAG